TTTCAGAAGTGGTTTGCCCTTGTCTGCTTCCTAGGGCTGAGAGAGAGTGACTGGCCCAAAGTCATCCAGCTTGTGCCTACGGCAGGACTACTGCTTTCATGAGTTACTTCTTGAAGCACTAAGGTTTACTAACCTTGAGGTACTTTTTCTAGAAGCCACAAAATATTAATTTCTTTATTATTTAAAGCATTTTTCTTATGGAACTTTACCAGTGATGAAGTTTGTACACCACATATTGCTCATCTGACTTTTTCCAAACAAGCCAAGACATCATCATCATCATCATCGTCGTCGTCATCATCATTATTATTATTATTATTATTATTATTATTGCATATTCCCAGATATCATTAAATATATTGAGTAGGCTTTCGTATTAAGCACGGATTACTTTATGTACCCTGTGTACAACACCATGGTATGAAATGGTTATTGTCCTTTTCTTTGTACTGGTATCCTTTAAAAAACCCACATTACTACTTGTGAAATCTAGTTCTGTTAAATACTAGATATAAGTAAGCCTCCTATTTCTAAATATTTCCTGTAGTTGTAATGCAATCTGTGGCAATGCAGGTGCTTTACATTCTGGTTTCAGTTGGCAGTTCTTTAGTTGTTGAGTTATCCCTTTTTCAACAGGGAATGCATGCAGACTCCAGTGTTTGACTCACAAATATTGGAGCATTTGGAACAGCCTCAGCTTCAGCCCTCCACCTACCTAGCAGTTTCTTCTAGAAAATGTTCTTTTCAAGCAGCGATGAGGTATTTAAAAGGCCTCCAGGGATGTCACTGGAAGCTGTTTAAAAAAATGAGGACAGATTAAGAGCAATAATTGTTCAATGACAAGTTGCAACACTATGGAGAGTTGGCCTTTTCTTCTCAGGCAGCAATGCCCCTACTCTAGTTGCTTTCCAGTTAGTTTTAAGGGGATCACAAAGTAGAATGTTAGTCTTGTTTTCTAAGCAACATCCTGCTCAACATATGCTCATATGCTCAAGTGGGCAAGGCGCCTGGTGGAGGGAGGGAGGGAGGGATATCTAGGGAGATATCTGGAGACACATTGGCGTATGCCTCATATACGTAATGAAATTAAGGTATAATTAAGTGTGGTGCTGTATCGCTTGTTTCTCTTCAAGAAAAAGTTGAAGTGAATGAATAGTTCTACATTTTAATTTGATCTCTGTATATTGAAAGCTAGTCAGAAAAGCAGTCGGAAGACATTTATAACGATATCTACAACTTTTAATGGAAAGATACTTGTGATACAGTCTGCAATTTGTTTTTAATGGAAAAGCAGTTAGCGGAATGTAGAGTTATATGTGGAGAATCAGTAGGAAATAGAATAGGGGTGGAAAGATGCTTAATGTTCCCCCGATGTTCCTCTATATATATGATTGTTAGACTATGTCAGAAGAGGCAAAAAAGGAACAATATGAGAAGGTTTGAGCAGAAAAATGGCAGTCAGAAAAATCCTCATATCCCCATTACTGCTTGAAACTGTGATTGCCTGAATGAAAATTGTAGTGGCTTTTCATTTAAAGAGCAGCCTTAACTGCATCTTTGAGTATAACATATGCTTTGATCTAAAAGTATCTATGGAGTGTTGGTGGGTGTTTCCCTCTTTCTCTTTCATTCATTCATTCTATTCTGCCTTTCCTATGGGAGCTCAAGGTGGCTTACATGGGTATGTTCCCCCTATTTTGCCCTCTGTACAACAACTTTAGGTTGAACTGAGATAGTGACTGATGGAAAGTAATGAAATGAGTTGTGTGGTTAAATGGGAACTTCAACTTGCCTCTTTGTAGTCCTTATCCAAGCCTTTAATCACTACACAGTAATTGGTATACCAAAGTGGTCATATTTTTAAAATGAGGTCACCATAAAGTGGCTTACATATTAAAAATAATATAATAAAATATTGATAAACCCTAAGATGATAGAGATCTTATCAGATACGAGATATAAACTATCAGAAAATAAGTTAGACTTGATTTTAACCACTAACATAGAGAAGACGGCCATTGTTATTTAAAGATGAAGGAGGAATTATTCAACCACCCAAACCCTGTATGAAAAAAAGGAGAAACATGCTAATTAGTTGCAAACAGCAGAGATGAAGAAACACCAATGTTTGACAATCTAACCATATAAAACTCAATTGTTTGGTAATAATGTGTATGTGTGTTTGTTCATTATTCATATTTCTAAGGCTGCCCAATAGCAGCTCTGGATGGCATACAGAATTAAAAACAAAGATATAAATAACAAGCACAAAAAAAAAAAGACAGTCATCTCAGTAGAACAAAATAACCACTAACACCTGATAAAAAACCTCACATAGGGAACCTGCATCCCACCTTATCCCAGAGTCTGGGGAAAGAACCAGGTTTCAAGGCATATTTAAAGGTCCATTTGAATCTCTGGGGGGGATGCGGTTCCAGAGGACAGGGGCCACAACAGAGGAGCCATGCCTTGTGGGTCCTATCAGATGGGAACTGAAGTATTCTGCATCTATCTGATCTCACAGGATAGGCAGAAACAACAGGAGAAGGACTTCAACTAGGCCTTATGCCTTGCGGGGTCTTTCAGATGGCAACCAGCACATTGAATTCCACCCAGATGCTTACTAGTAACAGTGCAGCTCACATAGTAGAGGTGCTACATGGACATAGCATGGCACATCCATAACTGTTTGTGCTGCCATAGAAAGTTACTCTGGATTGTTAAGCCCACCAATGGCCTCTTGAGAAGTGAGTGCATCACTACCTCCTTCAAGGCAGATAGAACCATCCCCCCTCCCTCAAAGAGTAGGTCATCACTACATGGATCCAATCATAGGTTACCTCCTGGGAAGCATTCACTAGTCAGAAAGGACATGGATCTAACCAACAGATGTCCAGGTGAACAATCCTGAGGAACCTGACTCTTTCCAGATAACTGAGCAAGACCATGTCTCAGTCACCTCAACTGGACTTGCCCAGTTGGAATCCAACTCCTAGTAGATCCAAGCAACTTTATCTATCAAATGAAGGTAGCCTTATTATATACCAACCTAATGTTTAGTAGCAACAGCCAGAGACCAGGACTGCTGAGGATCCAGAGTCAGTACTGAGGGCCAGAAGGTGAGATCATCCAGAGATTGACATTGCCTTCCCCATGCTAGGACACTATAATCTTTCCTTAAGCTGCTTCTTTAAGGATTGTTTAAGTTGGGTTTTTTTTTCCAGCAAATATTCATATTGTAGCTTTCTCTACTTTGCCTTGAATGCAGATCTTAATTAATTAAATGCATTCTGGTAAGGTGTAATGTTTAAAGCATTGGATTGGCACTAGGAAAAAACAGCTTCAAGTCCACCATCAGACATAGTAGCCCACTTTTGGGCCTTTCTATTTCAGCCCAAGCCCAATCTACACAGGGTTGTTATTGTGGGGAATAATGGGAGGAAGGAGCACTACTTGAGCTCTTGTACAAAAAAGTGGGATATAAATCTAATAAAGGCAGGAATAAAGGCTCCCTATGATATCTGTACAGCCTCTGTACATTTGGAATATTGCTTTTTGAATAATGTTGGTGTTGTATGTCCAGTTGCAGAGCTAGCTAAAGTGTTTGTGTGAAGGGGTACCAGGCATGACTCCCTTGATTTGAAACTCTAACTGGAAACCAACAATCATGCAGGCAGAGAATTCTCTAAAATTGTTCCACTCTTGTTTATCCTGTGCAAAGCAGAAATGGAAGGATGGTAATGACAATGGACTTGTTCTAGTGACCCAAATATTTGCCTTATCACCCTCTGCAGTCAACCCTCCCCAGTTGTAAGAGGATGCTATTAGTTGATGACAGACTAGCAAGTGCAAATGAAGACAGGAGTATATTTTTTGAGGATGAGATAATAAGTCACACATCACATCCTTTAAAAAAATATTTATATACCAAATGCTCAATATCTATTAGGTACAAAAATGCAGTTAAGATATCAGAAAAACTGCACATAAAAACAAAGCGGTATGATATCTGCATTTTCTTTTCCTTTTTTCTAAAGGCCTTTTTTAGAATCAATCAAATCACTGATATATTCCCATCCACCTGGTTTCAGAAAGAACCAATTTTCCAACAGACATGTGGAGTCTGTTGTTTAAATAACTGCAGAAAGGAAATAACAGTGCATTTGTTATCTCTGAAGCAAATAGTAAGACCAAAAAATAATAATAATAATAATTAGAGAACACAGATTTTGTGTGTCTCTATCCTTGCTCACAAGCACCAAAGTCAAGCTCTGTTCAAATCATTAATTAGGTGCCCTGAAGTTAAAATGTTCAACACTCAACTAGCATCTAACAAAATTTCTACCAGAAGTAGTTCCATATATGAGACATAAGGCAGTCCCCTCTGCCCTTTTATTTGTATTCCTTCCATTCTTGCTGTAGGAACTCAGCTGATCTTTTAAACATGTCCTTCATTGTTCTGCTTGTTTGGCCAGATCTGATAGGATCTTCTGGTTCCATTTTAATGTAATCAGATTATGGATGGGATTTAAAAAAATGAATCCATTTTATAAATAAGCTTTCATCTCATGATTGCATGAAGTCCTCAGAAGAAGATAAAGATTCTCCATTGTAAAGCAGATTTTGTAGTTATAGGAAAAAAGGAAAGTTGCAGCACCTCTGTTAACAAGTACAAAAATCATGCAAGAGGGAAGTTAATTGTAGAGCATTTGAAGAAATCATGATGATGGTGCTAACCGTCTCCTTTCCACTCTTCTCTCTATGGATAAAAATCAAGAATGGACCTTTTGAGATATCAGTAACATTGATTCTCAGGAAGAAAATTAAAAGGTTAGCTATGAAAGTAATTTAGGATTCTAGAATTTGGGTAACCAAAAGAAAATAAATGTTAACTCTCTTTTTTATAACACATTCCAGATCCCACTTTACTTATATTAGCTAGTCAGAATTTAGGATGTGTTGATAAACATCTACCATAAAATGCACATGGAGAGTTCATGTGGAGATAATACTTATGTGAACTAGCCACATCCACGTAGTTCTGCATAAGCAGCATCCCAAAAGTTTATGGAAAGTTGTTGACTCAGAAGAATCAGAGGATCCATATATAGACAAAACATGTGAAAGTGCTTTCATGTATATCAAGTGTCCTTCCTAAAGTGTCTTTACATTCTAAACTTCTTTCAATGTCTTTTTTAAAATTGTGGCTGTTGGTTCATCTATTATTCACTAATAATACATTGACAGCAGTTATCGAAGTCAGGGATTGGCATCACAGTTCCCATGGGCATATCACTCATGATACCCACACTTGGTCCTTACATTGTTTTACAGGTAGTCCCCAGGTTACAAACCTCCAGCTTATGAACAACCCATGGTTGTGAATGGGCTGTCTACAGTACTTAAAATGGTAGACAGCTGACCGGCAATGAGATCTGACACAAAATGGCAGATGGTGCTTTCCTCCCCATAATCCAACAAACTGCCAAAGCCGCACAATGCCTCCATGGGTGTCATGAAGTAGTTGTGCATTTTTAATACATTGTACGGCCTGTTTTCAATGGTTCATGAAAGCATTAGGTGGCTTCAGTGGTTCATCAGCGTGAGGAAGAAGAACACCATCTGCAATTTTACCTCATGAATGCCCCTTCTGGTCTGCAAGACATACCCCTTCCAGTACGCAGGGTAATATACAACAAGAGTAAGTGTTAACCTTTAATCATGATCTTTCTGGTATGCTACAAAGCATACCTACAGACATACACACAGACAGATTTTTTTCCCTCTCTCTCTCTCCTAACTGACTCTAAATACTTGCTCCAGCTTACATTCAAATTTGACTTAAACACAGACCTTGGGAACGGAACTTGTTCTTAACCCAGGGATTGCCTGTATTACATGTCCACATATTCCTTTACTGCATCCCATTGTAAAGTGCCTATAGCCTAAGGACCAAGCAAGGACTGCTGAGTAAGAGTTATGCTGTTTGCCATTCTGCAGATAAGTGAAGGAGGTGCCCAGCAGGAAGCCTCTCATTATCTTAGGAATATTTGCTCATGCTCCTGAAATAATTGCCTCTAACTGGCAATGCAAAACCAAGCAGGAAATGATTAAACATAACTTGGCAAATCTAATCTTTCTACTGTTTTATCCCTGGACAAATAGAAGCATATTAGGGTGCAGCAGGACTACCAAACTTGCCAAATGTCAGCAAAGTTCAGCTGGCGCTCAGTCTCTTGACGTACATCTTTACATTTTATCATGCTTAAATCTCTCCTCCTACTCCTGGAACTGAAGACTCAGGCTTGGTTTCTCCCCACCCACATACTTAATAAACGCTGGATTTCAACAACTACTCCTACGGGCCAACTTAATGTTGTATAAAACATACTGCAGATGAAGCAAAATCCCGTTCTCTTGTTCCATTCACATGCTTGCAATAGAGAGAAACAGGAACATCTGCAGGGAGGGAGGGGGGAATCAAGATGGCAACCACAACCCTGTGATTGAAGGCCCATCTCCTTTTATGTGCATGGATGTATGTCAAAGAGGGTTGGGGTGTTGAGCACAGTTATGGCTGCCATCTTGACTTTTTTATCCCTCGCCATAGATGCCCCTGGGGAAAAAACGTGGCAACCGAGCAGAAGAAACATAATTGCCTGACTACTCCCACTGGATACACTAAGCTAGGCCTGGAAAATAAACTGTCAGAGAGTAAACCTCCATTTGTTCATGTATCCAATCCAGAAATGAGGTGATGCGACTGTAGACTCCAGGTTTGTTTTCTTCTGCACAGCCCACCCCAAAGCTGGTTGTTCCTACCAACTTCCAAGTATTCATATCTTTGCATGCCAGTGGCCCCCCACTATCTCCCTGAAAGAGACAGAAAAACAAAATGTGGCCATGTCTGAAAAATATTGCTGATCATTATCTGAGCACACATTATCTTGAGAACATTTGCTACCTTTTAACCGCATCATAGTTTGAGGATTACCATCTTGTAAATCAGCAGAGCAATTAATTAAGCAAGCAAGTGTAACCTTTTATTCAAACTGCTTAGCAACTGCAAAAAGAGGGAGACTCTTTGTCTCTCTAATGAGTCAACAGCATGACTTTTCTGAGAGACTGACATGAATATCATGAAGAAGCTGCCTTTTGTCATTGTCATGCAGTTTATTATCACAGGGTTGAGGAACCCTAAGACTGGCAGTGGCTGCTCTCTACCTCAACATGGCCTCCTCAAAAAAGGAGTGGAAAGCAACTCCCAGAATTCCAAAGCAACATATCCAGAGGGCACACATCTGAATAGGAATATTTCCCTAAAGTCTTAGGAGCAGATCTTTGCCAGAAATTGAAAGTGGGATCTTCTGTACTCAACAGCTAAGCTTTGCATTCTTTCCATCCTTTCTTTCTTATGTTCTCCTAAACAAGACATTCTTTCTCATGGTTGTGGAATTCCTTCATTTATACTATTCCTAATGGTGTTTCCCCACATCCCCTGCATTACTTCCATTTGCGTCCATTTATCATTTGACCACAGGCTGATGTGACACATGGACTTGCCACCAAATACCATGCAGAAATTCTGCAGAGATTTTCTTTAAAAGGCAGTGGGTACAGTGGATGTCTGTGTGTTGAGGAGTTATTTTAAATGAATTTTTAATCAACAATACATTTTAAACAAGTACCAATAAGAAATGTTCCTACCTGACAGGTGTCTATGCCTCCTTTTAAATAACCTGCGCAAAGCATTGATGAGGCTACAATTCCTCCATAGACCTCTCCATGATTGCACGCTTTGTTAGAAATTAAAGGGACACCAGCATATTTCATGGATTCTGAAGTATCACCTGATATCCCAAGACAAAATTTTTTCCCATTTCTGTGATAACAAAATATGGCTTTTTAAAAAGCTATAAGCTGTGATGAAGTATATATTATATCCTAAGAAGATTTTCCATAATTTAATATATTTTATTAGTCTTCTAAAGAGCCAGTTTGGTGTAATGGTTAAGGTATCAGGCTAGAAACTGGGAGTCCGTAAATTCTAGTCCTACCTAGGCACAAAGCCAGCTAGGTGATTTTGGGCCAGTCACTTTCTCTCAGCTCTAGGAAGGAGGCAATGGCAAACCACTTCTGAAAAACCTTGCCAAGAAAACTACAGACTTGTCCAGGCACTCTCAGAGAACTGGATACGATTGAATGGATTAAAAAAAAAAGTCTTATATTAATAAATAAATATAAATATGTTTATTCATTAGCTATGTATATGTATTGCTGTTTTAGAAGATATTGGACCATATGTATACTGTATTTATTTATTTATTTAGAAGGAATTCCCATATCCAACAAGAACTAATTCAAAACTATTTATAGGCTACTGCATTGAAATGTTTGACATTCAGCTGGAGTCAATGAGCAAAAACATGGTTTTGAATCATGAATCTCACACTAGAGGTGAAGTTATTCCCCACCACCTCTCAGTGGATGTAAATTAGGACTTGTAGAGAAACAGAGATGGAGCAGTCTCCAATAGAAGAGAATATATGTAGCTCAGGGTTGAACTGTGAAGTCCTTGGGGTTTTCTGAGCAGTCTTTCCAAATCTGACTTATTTTGTATATGTTCAACCATAGTCATTACTGTATAATTTTTGCAATTAAAAACAAAGAAAAAGATTGAATTTATTTTCATATTGTATATAATTTTCATAATATACATATTCTCATACACAGCATTCTCTACCATGCACATTTTGTATCAATTTTTCTTAATATATGCAATTTTGTGTGCAATTTTTAAGACAGAATTGCAATACAAAATTCAGAGGAGTGCAAAGTCAAAAGTTAACTGTATTCAGATCAACCTATGGACTAATCAAATTCTCATACATTGCAAAAGTAAGGTGTGGTGTTTATACATTAGGAAGTAGACAATGGTATCAGTCAGATATTTGGATCATCTCCTGAAGTCTTTTACCTTAGATCAAGCAGGCTAAGACTGATAGGAAATGATCCCCATATTTCTGAAAAGGAATCAATCTATTTATTTTGTTGGTACATAATGCAATAATTAGCAACTCTCAGTAATTCTATTTCTATTTCCTGGCTATAAATGTGTTTCTGTTTTAGAAATGAAGGGAATATTTATTGAGAAGTTTATATTTATAGAAAGGTATTTCTTATGTGCATCTCTTGAATTAATTTTTCACATGTGGCAAAGTTTGGTTGAGAAAAAGGCAATGCCAGTTTCAAAGACTTAAATGAATACCTCCTTCTTCTGTTGCTCCCCATCCTGATATCCAACACATTTTTCCTTCTGGAAAATGTTCTCCAAAATTAGGAAGGCAAATTGGCTCTATAAGACCTGTTTAAGTAAACAACATTCACCTGTGAGATCATATTCCTCATCTTTCTTCTAAAGAGTTCAGAACTTTTTAAAATTTAAATACAGTTCTTCGAATACTTCATGTGTAGACCCTGACTAACTTGATTTCAGCAGTAGAACTGCAGCATTGGGAGATTCCAGAGGGGTTGGTGGGAAGTGACAGGAGATTTCATATTACTGAATTGAGCATCCGATTCTTAAGCTATTTGAATTAAAGATCCAGTTCTGAAAATATGCAATTCCATGAACCCCTAAAATGATGATAATAATAATAATAACAAAATACAACAGTTATAGAACTGTACAACTTTATACAGTAAAACTATTTCATTGGAAACAATGAAAAAATAAAATTTAAAATGATGCTATTAATGGGAAAAATGAGTCTGCATACTTTGCATAAAATCTGAAATCTGGGTTTCATTTTGAAGATAACAAAATCTCATTCACCAAAAAGTTACCAGAAAGGGAAAAGAAAGTGAAAGGGTTGTCTCTTGGTTTTAAATTGGTTTTTCCTTCAACTGCTCTTAAAATTGTACAGATTGCAAAACAGTGACTGTCTGCAAATTGGGTTTTGGTAGTCTCTCCCACAGCTCAGTTATACTGAGATAACAGTAATAGCCCACACCTTTCCTCCCTTCCTCTCCATCATAGCTGCCTCTACAAAATAAGCATCAGGTCAGATGATCAGAGATTTGCATAGAAGGCTTCCAAAAACTATGACTCTTCCTTTCAAAGGCAAATACACACAATATTTAAGAGAAACAAAAAACACAAAAAAACATTCCAATTTCATACCGCTCTCAACTTCTCATGATCTTATAATAGTCTTTCCATAAAAATATACTGAATAGATACTATAGAAAATAATAAATAAATGTGATCAGTCTATGCCACCCTTCTCAATGTGAACTTTAAATACAAAACAAGAAAAAAAGAAAATCAAGGGAGTCAAAATTACCATTTGGTGCAAGTGGACTAGCCAGCTTAATCAGTGCTATATCATTTTTCATTGTTTTAGGCTTATAATTTTTATGGTATATAATTTTGTCCACTAAGTATGGATTAACAGGACTTTCTTCCAGGATTACAAAACCCACATGTACGCTCCAAGCTCTAGGTAGGTACAAACTGTTTCAACAAAAACATTAAAAATAAAAAGAAATTAATATCTTTCAACATTTAAAATTGGCTGTGAACAGAGTTTTGAACTTTATGTTCAATCACTTTTGCCTTAAAAGATTTCATTTCTAAAAAATATCATGGAAATGGTGCAAGTCATGCAAAGAAATCGTGCATCATTGTTTCTGTACTTGAAAATACAAATTATAATACAGTTATGTTCATTTACTTTTAAAATGATAATATTACATTGTCAATTCCAATTTTTAATTCTTATAATGCAGTCAAGCTATTGGTATAATCAGTATTGTGCCACGTAATTAGATCTGAATGCCACTGTTCCCCAACTTGGTGCCCTCCAGACTGGAAGTTCAGTCCTAATATAGCAGAAAGGTTCCAGGTTGAGCTAACCTAGTGTACACCCATGAGAATGTACAATATATCAGTTACATGTGCTGGGCAGGATTTCTGGAGGTTGTCATCCCATCATATCCAGGAAACATCAATTTGGTATTGTGCTTGCACTATAAACTTCTGCAAGTGGTGTCAGCAGAAGTTTCCCATCACCACCACCTTTTCCCAGCATCATTCATGGGTCATATAGGCAACTGACTCCATCCTCCTTATCAGTTCCAGAATCCAAATTGAAACATGAAAACCCTGCTTGAAGATAGCCATTGAAATATAACTGAGTGATTCTATAAAAAAGGTAGAGAGAAAACATAAGACACAGTTGCAGAAGTTTACAGCATGAGCACAAGATCAAATTGATGTCTCCTGGATATAATGAGATAATAATTGCATCACTTTGTTAAATGACGATGAATTTGTTTCACTATAAAAATACATCTGTTCACTTTTTAAAAGTTTCTTATAGTCCACCTCTAGCCACTCAGGCCCAGCCGGGATAAGATGACAACAATTAGTTGCCTCTCTATATTACACTAGCATCTTGGAAAGTAATCAAAGAAAACTGATTCCTATGTCATTGCTGTAATGAAAAGGATATATATTTTAAACATACAGAAGTTAGATGTTAATGCTTTACTGTTGTTGTGAAGCAATATGTAAAGGAGCATGGGTAAGGTTAGAAAAACAACAACAGAGAGACCACTTTTTCAGAAGAAGGCAAGCAAGTATATAGGGCAAATCTATGAAGACCAGAATTATGACAGTGAGAGATAAAATTCAAATAAAATTCAATGAGAGGGTTGATCTGGGTGCATTCTGGAACAAGGCATCTCCATTGTGGGGAGATGGGCGGGGACAAGTCCAATAAATAAATAAATAAATAAATAAATAAAATAACACTGCAAAACTTGTAGAAGACAGTAATCTAGATGAGATGCTTACTCATAAACACAGTGGGCTGCTGTAACAATCCACCAGGGGGTGATGACTGACCCACCACACAAATGATACCCTTGAAATTGAAGGCTGGCTTGCCATGGCCATTGCTGGAGCAGTGATGCATTTCCACCAACGATACGTGGGGTGTACCTAGACCTGGTACCACATGCTGGCAGAATGAAAAAATAAAATAACTGGAATACATCTGTCACTATAAAAATGCCCGTTCTTTGACTGATCTAATAGAAAATATTTAATCTGTCTACCTCTGAATAATCCCAAATCTAGATATTCACTTATTCATCTAATGTTATCTTTAATTTGTTCTTAACACTTAGGAGAAATGCAGTTATACCAAACATGTTAATATTTGAGATACAACCCACCAGAAAGTTCTCCTGCATGAGATTCACAGAAATGAACTGAGACTATGATAATCTTGTTTTGTATAGCTCCCCTTCATTATAACTGAGCATGCATATAAGGATTTCTCCAGTTCTTATATTTGAACATTTGCTAATTTCCCTGGTTCTTGTGAGGAAATTGGGTTTAGATTCTGTATCATTTTCCAAATCACTTACCTAGACATTTTAAGACAATTACATTGCCTGAAGTACATTCTTCTCTGAAATGGGGGGGAAAAAAAGTAAAGTCTATTACTTCTCCCTTCCCTGCCAGCTTTATCCATCAAGTATCAGGATACCAGTTGTTCAGTCAATAAATCTAAACCAGCTTTCCTAAATCCATCCCTTCCAAATGTGTTAGGACTACAACTCTCAGTATTCTCAAATGGCAAAAGATTTCTTTATGCTGGCTGGAAATTCTAAGAGTTACCATCCCAACACATTTGGAAGAGACCAGATTGGCAATGACTGATTTAATGAAAAAAATTATTGGCTCAATCTTGTAAATATTTTGTCAGCATAGTCTTCACTGATAGCAATATGAGATCATCACTGGAAGTCTGAATTTTCATACATATGGAAAAAGATGCTTAATTTAGTATATAAAGGCTTCCTTTCCATATTAAAGCCCTTAACAGGGTAAAATGGAATCTCCCAGATACAGGTTCCCTGGTATACTGATCCCAAAGATATCTCGCTCATGAATCAACTATATACATGTTCTTGGATATGAGAGAGGTCACATTATTTACACATAGCCTTTATATTTACACATAAGTGTCACAGTTAACCCCAGGAAATGACCGGGCATTTTAGTAAACTCATTGCTACTTACAGTATACCTTGCAAAGGCCTAGAAATGAGGATAGAAATGAATAATGACTTTTATTTCAGTTGTTGTATTCAACTGGAGATGGGATCTGAAATCAATGAACATTTCCTTTAGAATAGGAATCAATGCATATTGATTTGCCAATGGAGGAATAGTGGAGGCCCAATAATACAGGGCACCTTACATAATGGCATTATATGACAATTCATGCATGCAGATAATATAACTTTAGATGCTGCAGTCCCATGGAAACATTCCAAGAGAGGGCACTGAGTAGCCCATTTAGCCCATTTGCATGTCTTTCTGAAGGTAGGCATCTGAAACATACCGTAAGTGGGTAGTATTCTGTGGTGATGTTAGCTGATCAGCTGATAACCAATGATTTGCAGTAACAAAGTATTTTTGGAACTCATTTTCAATGGCAGCCACTGGGAACCCAGATGAACTTACAAAACTGTAGAGGGTAAGAATTAGCCAATATATTCTAGTACATTCTTCATGTTTAACTCTTATATTTACATACTACCTGGTTTTCAAATCTGGGGTAGACTATAATAATATAATAGATCTAATGCAGGGTAGCAAATCTACTACCTTCTCAGAATGCCAGCCTTTCGTTTATGTCAGCATTCCCAGCATCTTCTCAACATGTTAGACCACCACCATCCCATCATCCCTTTTCAGCATGGTGGGGGAAGTTAGAACCTATCTTGATGGCATCAGGAAGACTACTTTATGGTGGGCTCTGTTCTGCACAGTTGTAAACATTGCAAACAGAAGACCTACATCTCCAGTGCTATACTGTCAAAAACTCCTGACAGACTTAACATAATCATCAGCAAAACCAAGCATTTTGGCAAAGGTTTTCCTAACTTTTTGAATATTTTCAGAAACTGTATTAATTAATAGCTTATTGCAATCAAGTAATTAAAAAGAAGCACTTAATGCAAAAGCCAACTCAATGTAGATGTTCACTGTATATCAGAAATGTATATTTTGCTTTAAAACTACATTTTGACTCAAACTACATTTTGGGTCATTTTATTTCCATTGTTATTTGACAAAATTGCTAAGCAATACAGTACCTTGAAAATCCTAAGTATTTACATGTAACACTCCCATAATTGTCTTTCCAGCCATCTGAACACACAGTCCGCCAGGTTCCAAAACTGAACACCTGAAGCACAGCCCTTTTGCCACTCAGCCTGACTGGGGAGACACAAAAGAGTCAGTGGGTATTTAATAATTGCTGTAAAGACAGGACAGTTTCTCTTGCTTTTTCCTCTTTACGCTATTTGGGTAAGACCTGCAGCAGACTAGAGAAATAGAGCAGCGGTAATGTATACCAGACTTAATGAATTAACCCTGTAATTGACTCCAATGTTATCCCCCCTTTAAAAAAAATAATTTTTCAACAATGAATTTGGGATCGAATCTAATGGGGCTAAAATACAGTATGATTAAATGCAAAAATGTCCGTGGGGAGTCAAAAAGTATGGTGGGTTTAGCATGCCATTGAAGCCCTCCCCCCCTTTTTTTTGTACAAGTGTCACAAGTAAAACACATATAAAAAGGGGCAATCCTTTGATTATGCAGTTGCGTCAACCATCTTGACTTTTTTTACCTCCCCCTCCCCTGCAGACACCCCTGACTCCATGTGTTTAGGGCTATGTTGATAATGTTGGATTTAATTCCCCTTGACTCGCCATCATTGAAAAAGGCTTCTATGTAAAAGCAGAATTGTTAAACTTTTGAGTCAACTTTCAAATTAACTAAATTTGGGTTGTTTCAAGACAGTCTTATTCATATGTGAGTATCTGTGTACATACATATAAACACAGATGTAAAGGGATATTTTTATAGTACTTCAAGATAAATATAATGTTACCTTGTACAAATATAATGTTGTACATAACTGTGTTAATGTGATCTTTCAGTCACTGCTGCTCCTGGAATAAATGAAACTATCTTACCATTTGTCATCTCTTCACAGCAAGCTGGGTCAAGGAAACAGCTTTACAAGTAATATTGGAACACTGCTTTATTGATAAGTAACAGAAACTTGAAAGCCTCATAGCATTTTCCTTCCCTTCTTCTTATACTCAAGAGAGTAAAGGCAGAGCTGGTCTGAGTTCCTTCTAAGGTTTTCTTCCTGTCTTAGACTTAAATAATTTTTTTTCACCTGCCTTCACATAGTTTCTCTAAGGTCATCTCTGTAGTTCTGTACACCATTCTATAAAATGGTAGCTTTTCTGCACATATTTAGTTAAAATGGTAGTTCCTAATGAGTGGAAGATAAAGAAATGTATTCAGATTGGCACTAATTTTAAATTCTCAAAATTTTTTAAAAAAAAACCAAGAAGGAGAAATTGTATCTATTTTTATTACTTTCTCCAGAAAAAGACACCCCCCCCATAGCTAAACATTGTTTCTCCTTTTACTAGTGTGGTATATTATCTAAAGCAGGGTTTCCCAACCTGGGGTGCAAGATGGAATTTCAGGGTGTGTGACAATTTTATGCACTGAGTTAAAAGCTAATTTTTAAAGTTCAATTTGTTCACCTGCATTAGAAATTAGACTTCTTCATCTTCAAATGTGATATTACTTTTGTAGGGCGTGTGAACACTAATCAAACATTTCCTAGGGGTGTCAGGCATAGAAAAGGTTGGGAACCACTGATCTAAAGCAATGTTTCTCAACCTTAGCAACTTTAAGATGAGTGGACTTCAACTCCCAGATTCCCCAGCCAGCCATGCTGGCAGCAGAATTCAAAGAGTTGAAGTCCACTCATCTTAAAGTTGCCAGGATTAAGAAACACTGATCTAAAGTGTTGGACTAGATATGGAAATTCCCTGGGTAACCATGGCTTAGTCATTCTCTCTCAGCCCAAAATTTACGCTTTGAGGGGAAATAGCACATAACATCCATAATAAAAATGAACGTTACCACATCTGTACTCATCTTCTCCATCTTTACAGTTGAAGACACCATCGCACCTTGCTGTTGGATCAATACATTTAAAGGAAGACCTGCACTGAAACCTCCCATTGCAGTTGAAATAAACTGGAAAAAATCATATTGTATTAAGTCAACACAACTCCACATTCGTTCAAAAATATGCATGTGAGAAAAACAGACAGTTCATAATGAAGGAATGAAAAAGGGAACCTTGAAGAATCATCTGCTGTACACAACGTTATTATACTGTTCATTCAAAAAACCATCTACAATGAAACAGCAACATTCTGATATTTGGTTGCCTCTTACACTATTGGAACAGTAATTATGCATTCAATCTTCCCCTCTTTCTCTGAACATTGGAAAGAAGGAAGTGTTATAATTGCTTTGTGATGGAAGTTAAAATAGAAACCCATTCCTTTCTCTACGTTCCTTCCTCCAGCTGCCCCTTCCTTCCCATTTGCTTCTCTTCCACTCCCTCATACGGTAACAAAAATCAGCCACACAATGTAAAATAGCTAACACTCATTCACTGTCAATAAAAAGTGTTTATCTGGACATTTTCACACCTGTTTATTGTTCCCCATATGTTTTATAACCCAATCCTTCCATACTGAAAGTTTTGTGTGAACTATAAAGCTTGGTTAACTATTTTTGTCCCTGCTTTTTTCACAGTTTATAGTGGCTTTTAAATGAGACACTATTCCCTAATAAAATAGGTCCACTGAGATTAGGGGAGAGAGAATTTTCTGTAAAGATCAGTATTTCATCACACGCACATCCAGTGCCTTTGTTGATACTTAACTGATCAACTTTGTTGATACTTAACTGAGTAATGGTGCCCTTATATGTGATCAATATGACTGTCTACCATAGTAGAATGATCTAGGTATGTTGATTTTTGCATGGCAACAGAAATGCTCAAAAGTTTTACAAACTTTCAAATACTTGATCTTGTGCTAGAAAGCTAGCAAGTATCTGAAACACTCAGGAAAATATCCCCCCAAAGACGGGAGTACAGCAAAATTGAAACCATGTAATTGGGCCCCAGTGCAGGATTGGCTTTCTGGAATAACCTGTTTCCAGGGCTGAGGATTGCCTTCAGAGGAGCTGAAGTTCAGTTTCCATGACCTTCCAGGCAATCTGTCCTTTGGCTAGGTTGTCTGGGAATCATGAGTCCAACATCTCTGGAGGGCACCAAGTTGGGGGAAGAGTGGGCTAAGCCTATTAATGAAAGGCTTACTTTACAAAGCTCACAATGAGGTTTTTATATTACTATTATTATTATTATTATTATTATTATTATTATTATTATTATTTCAACAGCAATAATTCAAGATAGCAACTTATAGTACCCAATTAATATAACCCTTGGCAGGAGACTCATGAAAAATGCACACTCTTTGATGGTTAGCTGAGAACCTAATAAATAAATAATTTGTACTCACCGCTCAAGGCAATGGCAGCTGCTATGATTAAAGTGAGAAATAAGACAAGGATAAAGGGAAGCAGCCTTAGTGGCATTAAAAAATGGCACTGTGGCGTTGTAATCTCTTCTGGGAATTAAACAGAAAAGTGAGAAACAAAAATATCTAAAAATGCATACAACCATGAGATATTGTACCAAAATAATGTTTTAAAAGTCCCCAGATAGTTACATTCCTTAATACGAACTTATATGCAGTGGCTTGAATATATATTTCTAAAAGAAAACTCTTGTTTAATGTTAAGAAGCCTGATAGCACCTTTCAATAGCAATTTTTATTAAAAGGCATAAGCTTTTATGAGCTGTAGCTCACTTCATCAGAGGCATGGAGTGGTTTAACTGGTGTAGGATTTAAATTGGGATGAGACATTATGCAGATTACAAGTACCTCATCAATTAGCAATTGTAATGTGTTAAAAACCTATTCTGTTTCTTAAGGCCTTTTGAAATAGCCTTTTGATATATGTGAGCTCTGCAGTCTCTTACTCTGTAGTACTGGCATGGTTTCTTTGTTCCGAAACAGCTACCTTGAGATCTATAATCTAGTGTCCTGGGAAGTTACAATGCTCTGATATTACTTTCTCCTTGTTCTGAATCCTGATATTAAATTTGCATCAATTAGTTCTTTTGCTCAAGGTTTGTTCCACGTAGAATCCAGAATGGTATTGCTGGCAGATAATGGCATATATCACATTAGAAAAAGAGCGTGTGAAGCTGCCTCTAATCCTGTATGTGAAGTTGTTGAGGCCCCTGATAATGCTGTTGCTGTGAATGTGTGGGCAAAGTAAATACTTGGTCTTGTTGCAGGGTGTGATTCCCCTGTTAACATCTTCACAGGCTCCTTCTGACTTTTGGATACCATAGACTGACATGGCTGTCCTTCTACAGTATTTTTAATGGTATCTCATTCTCACATCCCATAAATACTTCGTTCCTAAACGAAGTACGTATGATTCAATTTTGAAAAATTGTGACACAGAACAGACTACAATGGATTGTAGAATCCAGAATAGTATCAGAAACAGGGACTGAAAGTAAGTTTGCATATGATGGGACCTTTGAATACTCAAGGCCCCAACATAAAATGGCTGCCATGAATCTCAAAACACCCATTTACCAAAACGAAGCAAGGGGGGGGGGGGATCACTCAAATAATCTTAAAACAACCAAAAACTTAAGAAGAAACCAAAGGTGGAGAGAGAACCTCAAATTCCAAATCATGATTGTGCCTCTAAAGCAAAAGCTATGTTTGTTTTATAGAAGGCTCATTCCAAAAAGATACTAGTATCTGTTTTTATTCTGAAAGGTTTGAGAACCATACTGTACACAGTTCTTAGACAGAACCCAAGGCACAGATATTCAAGGCAGAATTATCAGTAACTCTCAATCTTGTATTATTATCATTATTATTATTTCCATTCTTTCATTCAGATTCAGGAAGAAGAAGACTGAGTCAGTGAGTTCACTGATATCATTCTCTTTTTCTTGACTCTGCCATGTCTTTTCAGTTTTCCTGATATCTCATCCTCCTTCTAAAACCACATAAGCTAAAATATGTCAGAAATGGTTACTGAAGAAAAAGAAGTAAAGAACATCAATATGCAGTATAAAGAAGAGGAGTACAGAGCTTAAAGAAGATTTGGAGAGGCAGCACCCTATATTACATCCAAGAATTCTATGCTGCTTACCATTTTCATTTTCACTAGGGTCTACTTTTGCTTGCTTTATACAGAAAATCCTTTTGTAGTAAAAACAAAGATTAGAATCTGGCAGTTCATCTTCTGCAGCAGAGGCAATTTCAGTGGAATCAAGACTGGAATCTGTTCCTTGGGCCTAGATCAGCATAGGTACATATGTCTTGTGAGTCCCATAACCAACTGCAGCATAGTAAGTCTATCTTGTGTTGTAGGATTGTTGGAAGGATTGTGACTAAGTAATGCATATGAAAACTAGTGTAACCATTAAGTATAAATGTGTGATGGGTGGAATCTCACCCCTGGAGTAGAATAGGTCAGGTCCCCGATCTATTTAGGCCAGGGAGCACATTTGGGATTTTGAGCGCAGGTCATAACCACCTCTACAAAATGATTGCCAAGTAAGTATGTCCATTCAAAACATTCATATGCCAGCAGCAAAGCACAAAGCTTCAGCCACTCGCCCTTTTATTTTCTATGAATGCCTCTGGGACCTATGTGGGCCTAGAGACATTGCTGGATATATAGGTTGTACCTGATGTTGGTATTTATGCTACAGCATGGCAATTTCCCATTCATTTTTTAAAATTAAACAAATCTAAGAAAAATAACATAGAGAGGATAGGGAGCTTGGTGAGTAGTGACAACTCAGGGATTAATTTCTCAACCAATGCCGATTTTTTTAGTGGTGCTCCTTATTTTACTAAAGAGTAAATAGAAAGCCAGTTTGGTGTAGTGGTTAAGGCACCAGGCTAGAAGTCAGGAGACCATTGGGCACAAAACAAACTGGGTGACTTTTGGCCAGTCATTCTCTCTCTCAGCCCTATGAAGGACAAGGACAAACCACTTCCAAAAAACCTTGCCAAGGAAACTGCAGGGACTAGTCCATGTGGTTGCCAGGAGTCAAAAACTGACTTGAAGGGACCACCCCCCCAAATACAATTCATATTAATTAGGAACTGAAGCCTTCTTCTACTAATTGGACTCTCCAGATAATCTTGGATTACAGAAATTCTGGCTCTTGTAATTCCAATACATCTGGTGGACACTGTGGCAATTTCTTTACATATTTATTTAACTTATTAGATTTTCATACTGTCACAATTGTTGCACCTCTTGGTGGTGTACCAAGATAAAACATCCACCAAAAACAAAAACAACCTCCCCATCCCAATAATAAAGTATTCAGCCCCAAAAGCAAAACAGCATATAATATTCTTCTATGGCACTGTCTAATTAATTAAAACATAAACAGAACAATTCTGCTTTAACTTGCTTCCAGAAGGCCAACAGTATTACTTCCTAAGGAGTAAGTGGGGGCCAAGACAGAAAAAAAAAGAAAACTGCTTCTCACCTATGTCCCCTTAATTTCATGGACATGGGGGAATTACAAGCAATTAAGTCCTGTGATGTTTATATCAGAGAACTCTGAAGTAGGCAGTGCTGGAAATACTATGGTACCAAATCTGATGTCAGCCCTGTAAGGTAGACTAGACTAAGAAACCAAGGCCATATATGTCAGGACTACTTTTATTGTAAGAGCTAAAGTAACAGAATTTTGCAAGACTGAACGTGCTTCCCCCTTCCCTCACTTTATCTTCATGTGAACTAGGAGGGGGCTGTCTGAGATGTTTACGTAAATTAGTTACTTGGAATGGGCTCAAGGCGCACTTGTCTGATTGTTGCCTTGGTAATGGCTCTCTCTTCTGTCCTTCAAAGCTATTCCCTATGTCCTCTATACCATTTAAGGCTTTCTCATTCAAAGCCAAAACTTCATATTGCACTCGGAAGCCTATTGGTAGCCCATAGCAGATGTATAATATATTCATGGTGTAAATATGAGCCACAGAAGTTT